GTTTCGGGGTTAGGGTTTAGGGGTTCGGGTTGAGGGTTTAGGGATTAGGGTTCAGCGGTTTACGGGTTTAGGGGTTCGGGTTGAGGGTTTAGGGTTGAGAGTTCAGCGGTTTTGGGGGTTTAGGGGTTAGGGTTGAGGGTTTAGGGATTAGGGTTTAGCGGTTTAGGGGTTATGGTTTAGGGTTTAGGGTTGTGGGTTTAGGGTTTAGCGGTTTATCGGTTAGGGTTTAGGGTTTAGGGTTGTGGGATTAGGGTACAGTCTACTCTCATCAAGCGGCCCTCAAGGTGTAGCATCTCGCGAAACTTTCGATGCACACTCTCCTAGACCCAAACCCCTGCTAAACCCCTAAACCCTAAGCCCCAAACCCGTAGAGCCCTAGATCCCCGAACCGTGCGCTCTCTGGTGGAGTCAACGGCTAAAGCTTTACTCGGGGCTTAAGCCCTAAACCCTAAACCCCTAAGGTTTTTGCCAAAAACCCGATGCCCTTGGTCTTACACCAGGCCTCCTGTCTGAAAGGCTAGTTACTCCCGAAACCCGTATATGAATGAAGGTACATCCCCGTAACTTGAGGAAGAGACGTTAAATTATAGCAGGATCCCTAATATGAATGAAAGCATCTATTCCTTATTCAAGGGATTTCGGAAGGTCTGGGAAACCTGAAACTCTCCGCTGCGTCCCCGGCCATGTCTCCATTCGCACCCTCAGAGAACTTGGCCGCTGTAGCCTCGATCTGACCCTGGTAGCCGAAGGACAGCACCGGCTGGCCAAGCGGAATACTGCGGAGGGTCCAGAGACCATACTGCCCTACGTAGGGTTGATATAGAGCGGTTTAGGGTTTAGGGTTTAGAAGCCCAACAGTTGGAAACCCAATAGCCTCATCAATCCTTAAGTTTAATGCATAAGGAATCGCAGCACCATTCGTCCTTAATCCGGTTTCCAACTTCTTTGGGCTTACTATATCCCTAAACCCTAAACCCTAAAGACCCTTGAATTAAAGAACGAACTGGGGCCTTGGTTTCTACCAGGCGGTGGAGTTTGAGGCTTCAGCCTAAACCCTAAACCCCTAAACCCCTAAACCCCAAACCCTAAACCCTAAACCCCGAAACCCCGAAACCCTCAACGGGCCACGCAGAGCAGCCAGAGAATCAAATTTCAGGATGCTCTTTCTCGGGTTTAGGGTTTAGGGTGTTGCAGTTTTCGGCCTTCATTTTGTCGTGTTTTGGGCTTCGGTTTGGGGGTTTAGAGTCGATGTAGGCTTGTCTTTCTCGGGTTTGGGGCTTCGGGGTGTGGCGTCGAGGGGTCGGGGGTTCGCGCTTCAAAAAACTGGGGCAGTAGAGAGGGTTTAGGGATTATAGGATTTAAAGAACAACGACGGGTTTTGTGACAGTAGTTCCTTGATAGTAACCCTGATAGAGCCCTTTAAAGGAACCCCAATTACCAAGGCCCCTAGATTGGGGAACCTCTCGGGTTAAGCTCCCGACACCTAAAACGGGGACTTTGGGCTTAGAGGGCACAGGTTTAGGGTTTAGGGTTTAGCTGCCACAGCGCAACAACTCCAAGACGCCAGACCCTTGCAAAGTGTTCCGATGAACCCCCTAAAACCCTACAACCCTAAACCCTAAAAAACACCTGAGGCCTTACCCCCAAATCCTAAACGGCGAAACCCCGAATCCTAAACTTGGAGTCCTCATCCCGAACCCTGACGCCTTAGAACCGCTTGACCCCCAAAAAAACTCAGCATCTACAAGAGAATCTACAAACCCGCACAGAACCCTTGTAGAGCCCTTATAAAAGCCCGGCATAACCCCAGGAACAAGGCCAAAGCGCGCAAGGCAGGCCCCTCCGACGTAGAGCTCCCCGACCAACCCCCGAGGCATAGTCTTCCTTTGTTTAGGGTTTCGGGTTTAGGGTTTAGGGTTTGGGGTTGAGGGTTTAAGGTTTAGGGTTCAGGGTTTAGGGTTTAGGGTTTAGTTGGGGTTTAGGGTTTAGGGTTCAAGGTTGCCGTGCGCATCCAAGCGTTGCGTGTCTTCTAAACAGAGGGGGCGAGCGCGTATAGGCCTCCAATTGTAGGCTGTATGGGTGAGGCGCTGTGGTCAAGGCTTGCCAGGAGGATTTATAATGACCGTTCTGTTACCTGCTCAAGCCAACATCTCTGGGGATGTCCTCTACGGGCAGACTTAGGGAATTAAATACGATCATCATTTCGTGCTCGCAGTGCGAAGCTTTGACTCCTATTCATCGTCGTAGGAATTGATCATGCGTCTATGGCTTTTGCCAAACATCTGCGCCCTCGCGCTTGCCGGCACGAGCTCGAGAAAGTACAACCTCTGATTGGCACGTGGGGAGCAGTTGGATTTTATTGTCCTTGCGCTCCTTGTAGGCCATCACGAAGGATCGCAGCAAAGGCAGTGGAGTTGGACCCCCCTGAGACATCGTGGAAGAGGACGTAGTGCTCGCCAATCACGCGACCATGCCCTCTTCTACATGCCTCGCTGAGGCTTCTTGTCTCGCCGGACAACAAGCGCGCCATTTGCGACATGGCGCCGAAAAAAAAACTAACCCAAGTTTATACCTACACCCTCGCTTCCCCCGAAAAATAGCCTAAGCCTAAACCGAGTTAATACCAGACCCCTCGAACCCCCCCCCCAAAAAAATGGCCGCTCAGGCTTGGAAGAGACACCTGTTCCTTCTCTTCCACCAGGGGATACCCTAAACCCTAAACCTAAAC